AGGTTTGAACCGCCAGCCTTCTGGTTAGCAGTCAAGTGCCTTAGGCACTATGCTACCAGAGCTCCCTTTCTGATTCTAAAGGAGTTGAAATAAAATAAAATACAGCTTCACAAGCAAACAAGTTGATTGCAGCAATGGGGAAAGTCTCACTAGATCCCATTTTTCATTCCCTGGATTATCTGCTTAAATATACTTTGGCTCAGAACATTCTAACACCATGCTCCTATACTGAGCTCAGAAACCACAACCATTTCAACAACTCCCCATTTCAACAAAGCAGTCAGCCACAAGACAGTCTTCAGTTATGTGAACATAGATTTACAAAAATATGTTACCTTGCCAATAAGATATCTTTTTCCCCTGAAGAAAATTGATTGAAATCTCTATCTCCTAAAAACTTGTTTAGGTTTAGAGGTAAGCCCTCAGGTTTTTCATCATTTTCGGCTCGAATGATGCAGTGAGCAAGTTCAAGTGTTGGCAATTTGCAGCATTCTGCTATTTTGCTTGACAGAATATCTTGTTGAGAACATATGTAGGACATAATTTCTTGCTATAATAGAAAAAATAAACTATACATTTTAAAGGTCTATTTTTTAATGAAGAACCTCCGGCCAGCTCTAGAAAATAAAGGAAGTAAGGGAGTAGGATTAGGAGGCAGTGGTGAGAGGGAAGAAGGAAAGGAGAAAGCAAGGGAAAGCAGAAGAAGGAAGGGAGGAAGAAAGAAGAGCTTTCTCCCCACTTCGCACGTACATGCTTGTTCAATTCTTCTTTTCACAATTGTCACCTAAACCCTGCCACTTTATTTTCATAGGAAACTTTTAAAGCAAAGGAGAAATGTACTACTCAAATCAAAAGACACGCTGGTCCCTGCTTATGTATTAGTATTCAAACTTGCTACTAGACATTTGTAGCTTGGTGAGTAAACTTTCTGCCCCACCATTATCATTATTTTTTGGCATACATGACTGAGCAGCTCCAAAAGTGCATCCATTTGTTGAAACATCTCAATTGGTATTCCATCAATTCCTGGAGCTTTGTTTTTTGCCAGTGCTTTCAGCGCAGCTTGGCAGGAAGAGCTTGGCACTAATAACTAAAAGCAGAGATGTTAACCCTCCTGAGAAAAGAGAGTGTATCATTTGGAGCCAGAGAAGGAACAATTTGAGGACAGAGAGGCCCCTTGTAAAATATCTAGGAAGGTTAGGGTTGGTCCAAAACAGATCAATGCTATACTGCTTAAATTGCTACTGTGTATGACATGCTCAGTAAATCTATTGTTGGATTTTGTTCATTGGTTTGTCTTTTTATTTTTCTATTTTAGTTTTTCACTCTCATTTTTGTTAGTTGCCAACAAGTCAGTTCACTCATGGTGACCCTATGTGTGCAGAATAGAACTGCTCCAGAGGGCTTTCTAGGTTGTGATCTTTCTGAAGCAGATGGCAGGCCTGTTTATGAGGCACCTCTGGGTGTGTTTGAACTACGAGACATTTGGTTAGCAGTCAATCACATAACTGTTTGTGCCTTCCAAGGACTTCCTCCCCTTTTTTTCCCCATATTAGTTTTTTTCATTCTCTTAGAACTTTTTATTCACACCTGTCTTTGGCATGTCTGGCTTTTTACCTTGTAGAACAGTTCTAGTGTTATTTGTGTTGTATTCACACAGAAAACTGTAATAGAGTGTTATCCACGTACAAAGCATTATGTTGTAGCCTATTAAGATAGCAGTAAATAAAAGACAGTGCCTAACCCCAAGTTTCATTCTGGTTACATAAGGTCGCCACAATTGGAGCTGACTCAATAGCAACTAGCAACAATAACAACCCTAAGGAGGTCACATGTCTTATCTATCCTATCAGACTACAAATTCCTAGAGGTCAGCAGCTATCTTAATGACAAGTGTTACTCATGGTGGCTAGCACATAGTATTCAATATGTATTTGTCAAATGAAATAATAAATGAATTTATTGAAAGAAAAGAGCCTATATGGAGTCCTCCTGAAAGATTATTGTCTTTTTTAGAAGGAAGAAATGACTGAGCCCTACTCTCACAAAAGGAGGTCCTCTTCTAAGGGAAAGGCAAGGGCAATAAGGCATGGTTTAAGTTGTACTATCAGGAAGTCTGTCACTAACTTCATTCAGTTGGCTGATTATCATCCCCTAAGTGCCTAAGGCACTTTACTGATAACCAGAAGGCTGGCAGTTCAAACCCACCAGCCCTTCCTGGGAAGGAAGATGGGGCAATCTACTTCCGTAGTGTTACTGCCTCAGAAACCCAAGGAGGGGTCGCTATGAGTCGGGTCCGACTCGATGGCACATAACAACAACATGATCCACTAGTCAGGCAGTCTTTTCCTGTTTAGATAAGAGAAAAAGAAAGAAAATTTGCCACAGAAATTCCAGGGAGAGGAAACATATCATATTTAGGAAGTAAAATTCTTCACCCCATCATGCAGACACTCCAGCACATTTCCTCTGCAACATTCCTCATGTGTGTGAGCCACATCCAGGGTCAGTTTGTGAATTTCAGTAAAATTTGCTCTGGGAAATTTTTGACTCAGTTTAGTAATAGTTCTGGGGGTGGAAAAAAAAGAATTAGAAATC